CGCATTGTTATTATAATACATAAAAATCGATGCCGCAGTAATATCTTTTCACCCTTCTTGTTACAAAGAATGTAATTTAGACGCTAAGTGGAATTTTGCTCTATTACTAGCTTTACACATGCAATTAGCCGTTTGCGTACTGTATTTAGGGTCGCAGAAAGTTTATTTTTCCAGTTCGAACATGATACAGGCATTCCTTCCCTACAGTGGTTTGACCTCAAATATTTCGATTTCACAATGGTGAAATCTTTCAAAGCGTAATTTGGAAGAATGCAAAGCGTACCATTGACTTAACCTATTCGCTCAGAGTGTTACAACAGCTAAACGCTGCCTAACGGTCTGAGAATTTTGGAAAAGTTTTAACGTTTTTAACGCTATCAGGAATATCGCTGCAGCGTGAGAAGAAATCACAAGCCAGTTTATAAAAGTCATATGGAATAAAGTTTTAAATGCTTTAACAAAGATTTTTTTTGTTTAAGTAAACAGCAAGATTATATTGCTTGGGAGACAGCTATAATTAGAAATAAATGAAGTTTATAAGCTTCTTGGTACTGAAGATGGAGAACTTTCCAAAGAGGAGCTGATTGAACTGGTGCAAGTTGCAAGTAAAGAGTCAGAGGAGGCAAAAGTTACATTCGACACCGATAAAGTTTACAGTGAAAGAATTTGGCCGATGCATTTGCTTGTTTTAAATATAGTGTGATTTGTAGATGGTGGAAGAAATGGAACTCAGTTATGAGATTTGCACGGTTCGAAAGACAAAAGCAAGATAGTCTTGCTTGTTGTACAGAAACTTATAATGATAAGAAACGTGCCCAATCAAAACTTGATATCTTCCTGAAGAACCAAGCGCCTGTTCCAGAACCATCAATAGGTGTCGACAATCGAACTGTGCTCGCGAACGCGAATACTCAGAAAAAAAAAATTGATGATTTGCTATAGCTTGCTCCATAGCTTCATCTTCCAGCTTAATGTTAAATTTTGTATTATTGTATTTAATTTTAATAATTATTCGTTTATTTACTTATTACATGATGGCAATTGTTTATTTACTTATTTATTTATCACATTATATTCATATTCAACTTACAATATTTTCAACATACGATGCGTTTTCCGGAGCTCATCTTCATTGTAAGCTGAGCAGCATCTGTAGTTTGCTGCGATGTCCAGAAAGTTAAGTCACATA